TAGTCCGGAGCGTCGAGTACAATTTACGAAGAGAATCGGTGGCGAGGAACACTCGCGAGCGCGTCCGCGACGTTTGAGGTTTTAAACAAGAGAACGCTCCGGGGTCCTCAGGGACCCCGCTGAAGAACAAATTACTCACGAAACAAACAGGAATTTACTCGTGCGAACAGCCGTTGTTTTTACCGCCGGTTGTTTCGACCGCCACATATATATGTCAGTAATATAATATTAGTAATATTACAATATCAGTAATATAATATACTTATATTATCTCTCTTATACCAAAGATCTCTAAGACACAGTAGACACTTCATGACACATGTAAAGACACTATGATAACATAACATTAAATGCTTAAAAAAGACTTTATATATAAGCCTAATTTATGTTTTGTTCATCATTCGTATATTTACCGAATTAAAGACACATTTATAAAGAATCATATAAAATTCTTATATAAAAATAAAATATGTGTCGTGGTCTGAAAAATTATCTTTTTCTCAATAATCCCGCAAAAATTAGGAAATACGCTTTAAAATCAAATAGTAGATAGAGTTGGCATCAAGCACAAACAGATTATGTATCTCAAAATACGCAACTGATTGGATACCGTCTGGATTTCAATTCAGAAACATTTTTTCATAAATTTACAAATAATTAAATATAATGTGTTTATACTGTTCCGAGAATAATGTCCGTTTTGAGAATAAAATTGATTTTCTTCCGTTATCAAGTTGCGAATCCTTCGGCTTCGAAATCTTTGCGTGTCAAGCGTTTCTCAAAAAACGCGATAAATCACAATTATTCAAATATCTTCCTTGCGAAAGTAAAAAGTGCGATAATAACTCAGGTTAAATAAACTCTAATGGCGGCATATAAAAAGGACTTGTACTCTTGACGGACGATTATCCGTATTTGAATACCACAATAGAGTCATAATATATATTACGCGATTGTATACTATTATATAAAAGTAATGTCTTGTGTTATCGTTGTTCGTAACATTCATATTATAAATACGCTAAAAACAATTTACCACACACATGATTCTACATTTTGAACATTTCTAGTCTTTGCAGAAATCTTTCCCAACGAATTGTAAAATTGTGTTTGTACACAGATATGGATACTATATGCGTGAATGTTGAAAGGAATGTATTCCCATTAGTCTCTAAATTAATCTCTTTAAATATGCGAGGTGGTAAAATAAGTATGTGTACATGAAAATAAGTATTCTGGGATTATTAAAGAGTACGTATATAAAAGAGCTACCGTAAAGGACGAAGAAATATCAGATACTTATTCGTTTATCGGTGCCAATTCGTGTTGTCCGTTCGCATTGTTGCTAGAGCTTCCTACTTGTATTAATGCAGATTGGCGCCACTTTCCATTCTCACCGTTCAAATTCTTGTCTTCACATATACACAAAAATAACGTGTCGATGACAGTCTGAAAAGTAACAAGAGTTCTTATAAAGTGTTTGACTTGATGACTTGATAAATACATTGAAGAATATCAGTTGGACAACAAATAAATAAATAAATAAATAAGTAAATAAATAAATAAATAAATAAACACACACACACACACACACACACACACACACACACACACACAGGGTGTCCCACCTAACTCGAGCATCTGAAATATCTCGCTTGTTTTTTATGATAAATGTCAGAGGAAAAGATTGGTTAGTTTGTAGGAGTAAATATTATGATATGACATAAAAGGCCAAAAAGGCATAATATTATGATAGGCAAAAAGTCTTTCTTAAATGGAATGACATTTTTATCATCACTACATGATAGCCGAGGTCAAGACGAATCCAACGGTATATAACACTACGACCTTCACATGACCTTGAATACAAGAAATTCATAAAAGTTGAAAGATTGATGCAAATAGTGAAATAACCATAACAGAATGATTAAAATTTATTTTAACAAGTGTTCAAAGTGATATTTATTAACACTTTGAAGCCTTGGCCTTAAAGATGATTTATTAATGGGATCCTGGACAATTTTGATGTCTATTAAAAAAGTTTCATTGTTGATGTATGTGTTGTAACTTAGCAACCAATATATCAATTTTAAGCAGAAAAGTATGGAATTAAATAGCCAGGCCCGAGTTATACTCGGGCTTCAGCAGTTGTCTACGCGCTACTCCGACCTAAGGCTTAGGACAAAGAGTGTTAACTTCAACATATTTCTGTAAACGAGTAATGAATGATTCTCTGACCGTCCTTATAATTTCCTCACTAATATTATCACATGCGATTCTAATCCGTTTTCTCATATCGCCCGGTGTTGTGGGAATGTCGTTATAAACTTTTGATTTTGCCGTACCCAAAAAAAACAATCTAAATGTGTGAGGTCCGATGAGCGTGCAAGCCATCAAATATCCGCACCACAATCGATTCAGCGTTGCAGAAATTTTTGGTCTAATACTTAACGGGCTATTAACGCATTGTGTACCGGACAACCGTCACGTTGAAAAAATATTCGATTTCTTTGTGATAAGGAAACGTTTTCCAGTAATTCCTCTCTCTCTCTCTCTCTCTCTCTCTCTTTGTGTGTGTGTGTGTGTGTGTGTTGTGTGCTGCGTGCACGTTTGTGTGTGTGTGATACACAACTTACTTCGTAAAGTGAAATTATACAATGAGCGATGAAAAATGAGAAAACACAAGTCACGAAGATCGGGGCGGCGTAGAAATGTAACCGCGGGTCTTGTTTCATGAAAATTAATCCGATACTTCCAGTCGCCGCCGTGACGAAACATTTTCCTAGGAATAATATAAAATCGCCGAATCCGTTGATTACAGCTATCTGCAGAGCGTTATTAACAAGTGTTGTGAAAGCCTGAAAGAAATAATTATATTTATAAATTTTTTTTTACTAATATTTAAAATGATATTACGTAAAACATAATAAGATTAGATTATTTATAATTATATCTATATAATTATTATTAATCACTTAAGTGGTACGAGCACATTATTGCGCGTATTCTTGCACTGGAAAAAACTCGCCTCATTTCTTCGCTAAAAATATATTATTGAATTTAAAATTTAATTTTATATTTTCGGGGTTAAATAATATGAATTAAAAAAAATATAATAAAAAATAAATAATTTTCAATTTCCGATATCGTTTTCCAATTCAATTTCCGATACCGTTTTCTGTTTAGTACGCATCTTAATTTAGTTTATTAGATTTCTTCTTTCTACATTGATTTGAGGACTAAGATTGTACTCTAATAATATTTTTGGTTAAGTCAAATGAAACTTTAATAAATATTTCCGAAAATGATAAACGCAATTTACCTTTGTGCATTTGTTTATGATGTGAATCATGATCCTGAAGTGCGTCCCCATGAAAAGGCTGCAGTGATAGGATTTTACATCTTTGTTTTTGTTTTAAAAATTATTGCAAAAAATATTATGAAAGCATAATCTTAGTCTCCAAGTTAACGCGGAAGAAAGAAATCCAATAAAACAAACTAAATTAAGGTACGCATTAAACAGAAAACAGTGCATTGGAGATTAAACATTATTTAATTTTGACATAAAATTCGTACTCCTTGATATCGGAAACATAAAAAGTTAAAGACTTTTTAAATTAATAATCCATTTTTAGAGAAGAAATGAGGCGAGTTTTTTCTGACGTAAGAGTGCGCGCGTATTATTCAATAGTTACAGTTAAATGCAATTGAGATGCAATTGTTGGCTTCCTTTTTTTTAGTCTATTCCATGCAGATATCACGGAGACATATTAATATCAAAACGTACTATTTTGGCAGCGTTACAAAAGTGGGTGCCTTCTATAGCGACGACGGTGTAGGCATTGTGATTCATGTATCGAATGAATTTCTCTAAGCAGTAGAAACAGCAGATGCAAGATTTCAAACCGCACTGCGAGCACGGGGACGTTTCTTTAGTCTTCTCACATCTGCAGGGGGTAAAGCGACAGGATTAATAACGCGTATACGAGATCAAGGGTGCAGACCGGAGGTCCCTCTTATTTGCCGGGAGAAAAACTTACTTGGCATGCAGATACGTTAGGATTAGCCTGGGCAATTTGAAGATCGTTATCAAGAGCGAGCCACACGCCACAGATCCCAAGTGGTAGTAGACCAAGTGTCCTATAGATGAACACACTGGGAATGCACTGGCGTCTTTACCTCTGACGGAAGAGAGAGAGAGAAAGAGAGAGAGAGAGATATATAGGAATCGTGAAAATGATTGTAGAACCAAAAATGAATGTCACACAACGGCGTCAAGTGTTACCTGAAATACCAGTGCGCGACGGCGCCCGATATCACCATGACTTGACATCCAACGATAAATTCCGATACCCATATTAGCCCTATGAGATATACCCACCACATATACTTCACCCACGTTGCATCGACGTACTCCACAAGGGTGAACGCTAAAGTTTAACAACTCGTTATTTTATCTCTCTTTTTGCTTATTCTCGTCAATGATGACAGGAAGTTATATATCGGAATGTGTGATACGTTACTTTTGAAACTGTCGAGAGAAAAGTCTATCTTCTTCTCCTCGACCAACGGGCTGTTCTCACCGACTGAGCTTAAATTCAAAGGCTCGAATATATTGTTCTTGTACATTTGCACTGACTTGGTTTCCGGGTAATCTGCAATGGAGCTTTCGCGTAGAGACCAATTTATCGCCAACCGATCGTGTAATAATTATTTAAAAATATTTCCCGCTAATGAAGACTATGCAGAGTACTCACTGGCTGTTGCGAGACACAGTATTACGGCAACCCAAAAGACGAAGAACAGTATTAAAGCCACGAACGTTAAGAACGGCTGGAAAAACAAGCCGGGCAATTCCGCCAGGCATTTGGCGCTTTCCTTGAAAAGCGCTGCCATAAAACAGATACGTTTGCGTAATATGCATGAGAGGAACAATAAGATAATCTGCAGAAAATGAATATTGTTAAATTGGAGAACTATTCAAGATATCAATTGATATTTGTTTATATTATTATAAACTCATACAGTGATAACGGTAGCGATGATGGAGAACGCAAGGAACGCTCTTTCGTTTCTGACAGATTCCTCCAAAAGTTGGTTCGGGTCCGTCTTGTCCAATGTTTTCTTAATGTCTATGTATGTCCACCATAAAAGTACAGTGCCGCCTAAAAATTAAAGTTTTTGTCGTGACTTATCGTATAATTTTCAATATCCCAAATAAGCTGAGATATTTGCTTATCACAGTCATACGTCATATTATCGTAGATTCATCTCTCGTCTCACAACTGCACAATTATTTTTGCAGATTTTAGAAAAGTACATTTAAAAAATCATAATTGGAGTTATGAAATGTAAGTATACGATGTAATAATGTAACTAGATTTATTTTTACACTCGTCTCTTCTCCAATTTCTTCTAAAATATTTCGTTTGTTTGCTTCTGAAACTTGCCGTAATCAATAATCATATGTATCGGATGGGCAGATGCAGATATTTAAGCGACTTATAATTGTTTAACAATAACTCGCAAAAATATCGACTTCACAAACGCGCTCCATATTTTTGTTCCGATAATGATTTTCATTCTGAGACATACAATACGATACTGTTGCTGCAAACATCATCCGCTTATATAACGATATTAATTTACAACGCAATCCAATTTTTTATACTTTAGAAAAACACGTTTCCCTGTATTAATATTTCTGAATGAAACTCACCTACACAAGCAATGCTTACGAGTACTATCACGATCCACGTCACAATACTCGCCAGTAAATGAAAGATTGCTATCATAAAAAGCGATAAAACTAAAAGAAAGAATTAGACATGAGTGTTCAAATAAATTCCTCTGCAAATCGCGATACAGCGGTATGCGGCAAATTTTTACCAAAAGCCAGAAAAGACAGCGCTAGGATCTCCCTCCAGGTTTTATACAAGTCCCCCAGAACTTGCTCGATAACGTCCCACGAATTGATTAGGCCGTACAAATTCGATATTATCGTTTCGCTCACGTCATGAATCGCCTTAGGGATACAACGATTCAACACCGGTGTACTGGGATAAACTGGCAGCTCCGGGCAAGATCCGTTCTTGAATTTGCTGCTGCCGCTGTTACACGCACTGAAATCACTGCCGGGTCTGTCATGGCACAATTGCGATCCAGTTTTTTCGTAAAAATCACAGATATCTTTCATTGACTTCAGAGTCCTGTCCGGGCATTGCTTCACGCAGATTTTCAACGACTGCGTAACGTTATTTATATCCAGGAAGAACAGAAAACTGGAACACGTAACATAATATCCATTTTTAGAATATACTACCATAGAAGATAGACACTCGGTAGAGACGAGAAGATGAGATATTAACGGTTTATCGCTGGTATCCTGCCCAGACAGTTCCATCCTACCAAACTTTGGATTATTCTTCATACCGCATGTATTCCCAAAGCTGTCGTATCCGTTTATAAGACGCAAGGGGTTACCGTAGACTATGGCGAAGGCTGCGATCAAGATCTGTAAACAAGTCGTCACATATCAGATCACAAATTTCGAAAGGACCCCCTCCCCTCCCTTATTACAGGTAAGAAAATTAAATTTCAAATATATTCTCTTTGAAGGGATTAAAATGTAACAGCATAAATTTAAATATATTTACAAAATCCTTTCGCAAATTATCAAAAACTATAGATAAATAAATACAGTCAATTTGATTTGGTTTCAGTTATAATAATATCGCTTCCCAGGTGTATCTTTGTTTCAAAAAAGCAACGTGTGGCTGAGTGTACACGAGTAAACACCATTCGTACATACCATCAGAAACCAGAACGCAATGAAGAGGCAGAGCCAGAAGACGTCGGTGCAGCCCCGCACTCGCGTCGGCTCGGCCCGGTCCTCATTCTTGTCGCCGGTGCAACAGGACATCTCTCTGACGACGTCCTGCGAATTGCCGCTACGCCACTAAACTACGGTACTACGCTAAGAACGTTCGTGGTGTTGTTATCGTTGTGCGTCCCTCTCGATCCGGACTGTGTGTTCGCGAGTACCTGCGACTCCACACCAGTCCAGTGCCGTAATCGTGACGTAACCAACGCAGGGGGAAGGCGTCGAGACATGCATTTTTATTCGATCACAATTGTGACCAGATATCGACGTGATCTCGCGGGGGAGTTCGGATTCAACACGAGCGATAATAATCGCCATGTTGCTTCCTGATTAAACAAAACAAGGGTGTTTATTACGGGGTGTTTGTTGTGACAAGTATCCGAAAAATTCGAATACATTCGTCTGATTTATCCTACAAATAATACAGTGTACGTCAATTCTTCGTTCTTTACCGTGAAAAATTCCGACCGGTGAAAAAGAGCGGCGTCGGGTGAAGATCTGTAATCAGATTTCGCTAAAAATTCGACTCGCTGAATGATAATAGAATCGACAACGCGCAAACTCCGCAGCGGCGAAAGGTGAGAAGGGATATTTTCAGTGCGGGGACAGCCCTGAGACTACGTATTTCAGCGGCGTAGCATCGTTTCCACGGTAACAAGCGCCTACGTCACGCGCGGCGGGTCGCGCCTCGACGGAGGCGGTCGCGAAGGGATTGTGTTATGGCACGCAACCGCGCCATTCGTTCGCGCGAGTCGACGGCATGTTGCGGAAACACCAGCGGCCTTAACAAAACAAACGTCCCCGTTTAATCGTCTTCCAAGCCGTAAGTAGCGCGCGGTGCGTAAATACAACGACGTTATCGGGAATCTCGGCCTCCACATCGTCGTCGTTGTCGTCTACCGTATTTGTGGCAACGTTCATGTAACATAACCTATTCGAGGCATATCTGGAACACGACGATTATCGGCGACGAGTGTCAAAAACATTCGGTTTTCCCGAGGAGAAAAAAGTCCATCTAGTAGCGTGCTGATAGCATACTTCGAGATAGCTCGCCGAATATCAATTTTCCGAACGTAACTTGTGTTGAGATCTTTGGTCATTCCAAATGTCACTCGGCCTCACTGATCACCGCTATTTGTTAACCAACAATTTGCGTTCGTTTCGAGAGATGATAAAAAACAAAATTCTGTCTCTCTCTCTCTCTCTCTCTGTCTTCTGCTTGTTGATATAATTAGACAAATGATGGTTTGACAAATCTGCTTTGAGCCCAAACTCGATCTTAACTCCTTGATGTTTTGAATTTATATTTGGAAATTGACATCATTGCTGATCGTATTTTATTGCTTGTAAAAACAAAATTCCTATGTATAGAAATAACTCTTATAAAATTAGTCCGACGTTCTATATATTTAGATTTATAGCAATTTCTAGCAGAAGTTAAGTGTAACATAGAGCAAGTTCCATTTCAACGTCATTTTATCTTTGTTTCTCGCTGGGTGTTAAATAAAGATAGAATGACGCTCGCCTTGTTGCGAGCGTCAAGTGGAACTCGCCCATAGAATTCAATTTCATTTCAGCCATGGAGGAGAACGGTGGAAAGAGGATGAGGGGCAGCAGAACTCGTGGCAGAGCTCGCGGACGTGCTCGAGGTCGGGCCAGAGGCAGATCTAAAAAGCAGGTCAAGGTAGAAAAGTTTTTTAACCTGAGCCTTCAATCGTGCGAATATTTTAGACTGGTTCTTGACTCTGAATTGTGACTTAATTTCTGGTACAAGATGTTTTTCACATTGTTAAAAGTCTTAATCCTTAAACTTTAAGCAAGTTAACATTCGTTAACATAGCATTGTCGCGTGAATCTCAACATTGCAGTTCACCAATGGTTTCACTATCATTGCAATGTGAAAACATTAACGATATATATGTTTATGATTGAAGATAGGTATGTGAAGAAAAGCAACGGTAAAATATACTTGGTAATATTTAAAAAATGTAAACATCAAACTATATTCAGTGAAGATTTTTCATCGGACAATTATATTATCGCATTTGCAGAAGATATATAGAGTTTCTTACAATCAATTATAATAGACAATTCTCAAAGTAAGTCTACAATATGTTTTATCATATAGAAATCTCAGCAATGTTTATAATCTCAAAAGATCAATATGCCTGTATGTTTGAACTTTTCTCAGAAAAAAAAACTACTATCTTTGTCTATCTAAAACAAATAAAAATAAATGTAAGAATTAGAATTAATTATGTTCATTGATAAGAGACTGATGAGAAAGTATTATATTCATTGATAAGAGAAAAGTTTACAATCGAAAGACTCATGTGCTTTAATTTTAACAAATCCTTTTATATCTATATTTATTTGCAGTTGAAAAAGTATGGCTAACAATAAGTATGATTCGTGGGCTCAGTTTGTTCAAATCAGAGAGCGCGACTTCATTCGGAGCACAAACTGCAAAGTGTTAAAGCTTTAAGGTAGTTGCTCCGTAATGCCAGGCTTTCAAGAGCGATATTAAAGGATCCCTGCATAAATTTATTATTTATTGCGTTGTCGATTATGTTATCACTCAGCGAGTCAAATCTTCAATGAAATCTGATCGTAGATCTTCACCCGAGGTCGCCCTTTTCTCGGTTGATTTCGGAACTTTTTACGAAAGAAAAAAAATACTTTCCTAAAACTTTATTTAATTATCTAAGCAATAAATGTTAATTTTGAGCGCGAAATTAAAGCTAGCAGCACACGATGCTTGTTTTCATACTGAATAGAAATACTGCGTTCTGATTGGTGTATTTCCAAAAATGGATGACAATACACCAATCAAAACGCAATATTTCCATTCAGCAAACAATCCAGCACGAAAACAAGCATCATGTGCCGCTGACTTAAGACAAATATACACACAATATTAAGAAATACAGAGATATTATTTATTTATTTTTTATTTTCTTTCTTAATGCTTTATTTATATGTCTGTTGAGCTAATAAAGGTGCGTACATAATAGAAAGTGATATATAAATATTTAAATATATGTACAATATCGTAGATATTATTGTAAACTAAATTTCCTCTGGTTATGTTTTCAAAACAAAATCAATTCTGAAATTTTTGTATATATCTATTGTTAATTTTTAATGTCACATAGATTTTCATTAAAATCCTAAATATGGTTTTAGAAAAAAATAAAAATCGGACATTAATTTCAAGGAATATGTATAAAAAGTGTAATTTTTGATTGCGCATATCTTGCGAATGATCAATCGTTTTTTAATTTTACAGACATGTAGATAGTCTATAGATTTCCATCAATATGGAGCTAAGAACATGGTTTAACGGACCAACTATTTCAAGCTAAGGGAGTTGCGACTTCTGGCAATACAAAATACGTCTTTTATCAGGAATTACAATTTAGGGTTTAAAGCAAGTAAAAGCTTAAAGGCTTACTCTTTATAGATTCGATTGTAATTATAATATATACTGGAATTATCATCAGGTTATTGAAAGCGACGATGAAGACACCACGCAGCAAACGGAAGAAACCACGATGGAGCCATGTACCGGTGAACCAGAAGAACAAGAAGCACCTGTGACTCAGCCACCTTCAATCGAACAGCAATTTGACCTGGAGGCTGATATTTCACAATTGGAAGCGCCAACCTTCACGACCATCAATCGGGGGCCGCCGGAGCCGATGCTTCGTCTGCGATGGGATCATCGAGTTAATCTTATTGGAGAGAAAGTATTGAACCCTATGATACACTGCTGCGACAAATGTTCGAAGCCTATCCTCATCTACGGTCGTATGGTGTGTTTGATTGTGGCAAATAAGGCGACTTGTTCACTTCTTATATGTCGACTCGGCGATTTCAATCATCGTACTGTGTGCTTTCAGATACCCTGCAAACATGTGTTTTGCCTTTCTTGCGCCAAGAGAGAGGACAAAGTTTGTCCTCGCTGCGTGGAAAAGGTGACCCGGGTGGAGCAAACCGGTTTGGGTACTGTGTTCATGTGCACACATGGTGGAACGAGATATGGGAATGCAGGGTGTCGAAGAACTTACCTTAGTCAACGGGATCTGCAGGTAAAACGAGATTAGACATCAACCTATTTCTACCAAATTCGGTTTAGTTTATTAAAACTCGGATTATAAAAGGAGCTCAGTTGAAAGAGCGGATGCAGCTGATTGGTTTCTATCAGTGTTACATCTAGTACGTTTAATTAAACTTATAACTCGTGTGATATAACTTACGAATAGAGAATGTTGATTGATTCAATATTACATTAACAGACTTGAGGTATCAAATGCGAGAGATGTTTTCATGGTACAGTCTTCGGCTATATTCGTATATTTATTGCCAGCACTAAGAAAATTTATAGTTTATCTTGCATGTATTATAAATTTTCAATACTGGTAATGAACATACGAATACAGCTTTCATTGGTCTTTGTTCTGTTACGATCTATACAGCGAATGGCTATGTTCAACGAAAAAAATAGCTAATAAGCGTTTTCCGCTGCACTTACTAAGCTACTTTTTCTGCTGAACGCAGTCAATAATTCTTGGAAAGCACGCGGTATTCTACAACTGTAATTATTCTTTTTTTATTTCCTTTTTTGTATTTATGTGGGAAATGAATATAACAGGGTTGTAACTTGGTAATGATATTACCGACTTTATGCACAATATAATGCGCAGAATTTATGTTCACATAAAAAAAATCTCCAATTGTGATAAGAAATAATTCGGTAAATATAAATGTGAAGTGTTAATAAGAGAAATAGTAAACTCCTAAAAAAGCTACAGCACCAGAAAATTAAACGTGTACACGTATTTTCGATATATTTTTGGCTCCTGATTACTAATACGGTAATAAAATTCGGTCGGTATTTCGACCATCATCTTGGAAAAAACATGTTAAAAAACGTCTTATTACGAATATATCCGAAATTATTAACATTATAAAAAAAGTTTTCAAACAAAAAATGCAGGAAATTATGTTTTTTACAAAAAAGGTTATAGTGTTCGTTCATGTAATTCCAACCGTTTTCGTGTTAAAACTTTACAGCACTTACAATCGAATATTTTATACGTGTCACGTTATAGAAAAATATATTTTAATAATTACTTATTGTTTATAATTTACTATTATTATTTATTTTTATTTATTTTGGTAAATGTTTAACTGACCTGGTAAATGGTTAACCTACCTCCAATGACCTATATCTTGACATATGTTATCAGAGTCATGTCTTTGAGCGATATAAAAAGTTTTTTATGAAAAGTGTTTTTATTTATTTTTGAATCTTTTGCCTTACTAAATTGATGAGTCTATCTTATAATAAAATAATAGATTCTGAGAAAATTAGCACATGTTAACCAGCTTTAAGGGCCAGTTTCACAACGTTCGTTAATCGTCAACCGTGATTAATTATTTTTGGTCAATTCTGCTTGACAACAAATGCGATTGGTCATTTATAATGGAATAATCAGCCGATTAATCTTTTAACTATAAGGTTGGTGTCGGATGCGACCCTACGGATCGTTTATTTTACAACGTGTATGTACTGTTTCTCTTTTTAAGGAATATTTCACATCATTTACTTCTTTTATCCATTTTGTACATTTTTATATGAAAAATGAATGAAACAAAGCATGAGGTCAGACCTAACCCCATTTTCCTAAATACGTTGAAAATCCACCTTAGAGGGTTAAGTTAACCAAAATTTGTGAAACTGGCCCTAAACAGTCAATATTGACTGTTTAAATTGAACTTAGTTTACGTACATTCAATCGTGAGAAAATCATTGGTAGAAACTAGTGACTAACGCGTATGTTTAGGTTTTTAGGAGCAACGCACGGATATTATAGTGCGATATTAAATATTAATATTTCTGATATTAATATTGTGAGAGGGTGAAATTGTTTTTGTGAGTAACGCACGTGCTGAGTTATTGCCGAGGCCTCGGTAGCCGAATAAAAAAAGCATCTCGCCCGGCATGTGGGAAATATCCAGGTTCGACTCCTGGCAATGTTCTTCGCAATACAACTAGGAGAATCAAAAAGTTGCTTTCCAATTCATTCAGTAACGGGGTAATGGATACTAAAGGAATCGACTTTATAATGACATCACCGGGGATCGGTGATCATCACACCAGAATCGATTTAAGTGAGGAAAAATTGATTCACGGTGTACGATCGGCTGAGACAATTTGGCACGTGCGTTACTCGCTGAAACCACTTTATGCTTCTATATACAATAATATAATAATATTAATATCAGAAATATTAGTATTCAATATCGCACTATATAAAATATCCATGCGTTACTTCTAAAAGCCAATATACGAGTTCGTTAGTTACTATTCTTCGGGAGCATTCTCAAATCATTCAGAAAGCGATGATTTCGACAAGCTTAGATTAACTGGATGTCGCTAGAGAGATGAACTTTTTGAACCACGATGATAGAAATGGGCAGTGGATGCTCGCAGTGTCCGTCATTGTTTCACGGTCTCTCAATCGACGTTTGTTGCAGGCCCACATCAATCACCGGCACATATCGGCGCCTCCGCAGGTGCAGGGCATGCAGGTGGATCCGCCGCAGTACGTGCACGCGAAGTCCGAGCTGGACGCGCAGCTGACGAAGGTGTCAACGGTACCGATGCAGAACGCGCGTCTCAAGTCCGTACAGTCGCACATGGTGTCGCCGATCATGGGTAACGACCCGCGGGTGAACTCGTTGGTGAGCCAGCAGCCGCTGGAGCAGCACAGGCAGCAGCAGCACGGCAGGCAACAGCAGTCGATGATGTCGATGTCGCAGTCGGGTTACGCGCAGGGCGCCGCGCCACCGCCACCTCCGCCCCCGACTAATGCCCCTATGCGCACCAATCTCATCACCGTGCCCATCCAGGACACCTCCTCGTTGTCGACGCACGAGCTTCACGCGCAGCAAAGCCATCATTATTATCAGCCGCCGCCGCCGCCGCCGCCGGTAAATTACGGCAGCTACAACGTGCCGCCGCCGGTGCAGTCGCAGACGCAACAGTACTACTCGCAGCCACAGCACCCGACCCAGGTGTCTTACGTGCCGCCACCGCCGCCGCAACAGCAGCAGCAGCAGCAGCAGTACGTGTCGTCGGCGCCGACCTCCATAAGACCGTCGCCGAGCGGTTACGGCATACAGGAACCCCAATACGGCCCGCCGCCGTCGCAGCAGCAACCGCCGCCCCCGCCGCCGCAAGCTCAATGGTCGCAGCATCAGCAACAGTTTTATAGGTAAAGGGAGATGAAGAAAGGAAAGGGGAGGCAAGATTCTCCCTCCTATGAGTCGACATTATGCTGTTGTGCGTTGTAACTATGTGATGCGTGAATATTGAACCTACAGTAAATGACCGTTTATATAGTGCGTATATATTTAGGGAGGACCCGTTATTCTCGTTTATCAATGAGATTCGGGCTGGAAATTTTGTACGTTTTTGGATGACACGATTACGCTCAAAAGCGTGCGAATTTACACATGACGCGTTGCTAATAATAATAAGAGACGTTTTTATTACATAATGGAAGTGACTTTACTTCTCGTTGTCCCTTCAATTCTTTTGATATTCCATTTTATCATTGTGTTTACTGAATATTGATATTACGGCCACATATACAAACACACACACACACACACACACACAATTTGGATCTGATACTATCAGGATATTCGATTATTCGGGCTGCGTTTTGTTATTCATGGCCAGTATTGAAAATCTATAGTGTATGTAACACGAACTATAGATTTTGAATTTTACTAGCAGTAAATATCGGAACACAGCTTCGGATAGCAGATAAATGTGACGCTTCAAACCTGGGTAATCCATATACAAGTTCAGATTAAAGCCGAGATACAAATCCAAAGTTGGATCCAGATCTAAGTTCGTGGCAGAAACGATCGCAGCAACTTGAGGTGAACATATATTGAGTGAACGAACAGCGAATATGTAATATGAATGTATATATTCGCATCTGAACGCGCACGAATTTTCTTTAATAAACCATATTATATGCAAATCAACTCGAAACGTTTTGTTCGGATTCGTTTATGGCATGCACATTTTCCAAATTGTAACAACGAAAATTTACATTCGCCTCTATTTGTTCCTTGTTTGTTTGCCCCTCAGTGTAAACCTAGCTTTAGATTTCTCTCGAATATTTGACAATCTCATGAGGGGATATTAACCCTCTTAATGAACAGTCGGCGTCATGTATACTGTATCATTCTCTAGATCGCGCGATTTTCGTCTTACATATAATTTTAAAGGTTCGGGAAACCGGTTTTTTTTCCATTTTTTCGCAGTTTTTTCGGTTTTCTCACAAAAAACATGAAAAGGTGATTTTTTTAACTATAGTCTCACACATACACTCACTCACCCAAGGTCAAAACTGTTATAATTAAAGTCATTATAACCTATTATTATACCCTATTATTATAAATAATTAGAGTTGCTATGCGATTTAAAATTTTATGAATTATGTATAAGGTTGAAAATCGTGTAATTTTTCGTCTAGGGAATGGTGTATAGCATACATGATACCGACCGTACAGTTAATGTTATGTATGCTCTACCACTTCCTAGGTTAAAATTTAGTACACAATTCTTAGCCTTTCATACATAAGCTGCATTCGGAAATCTCTTGACAGATAAAGCATTTAATTGACCAATTAAGACAAAATCAGCACAGATTTCTTTATTATTAGTTAAGTGCTACTCTACCCAAATAGGGTTTTCTAACGCAGCCATAAACATAAAACTATTATAGTCATTCTAACTTACCATTATAACTGGAATTATATTTACAATTATTATTTCGAGATAATCAATCAACATCGTGGAAATAAATATTCGAGAAGGATCTAAAGTTGCCGCGATCATATTTGGTCGACTCCGCCGCGAACTTAGATTCGGGTGCGACCTCGGATCCGGAAATAGATCTCAGCTTTGGTTTGAACCATTGAATTAAAGAACATAGTGAAATGAGCACTGCCTTTGTTTCTGGCAGATAATCTAATGCCGAAAGAGAAAGTATCTAAGTAGTATTTCCATCTTTATCTGTTTGTGTCCATCTTTGTCTTATCTTAGCCTATGTAGACTATATTGTATGTTAATAAGACAAAGAGCGAGATACTACTTAGACGTGGCCTTTGTCGCACAGTCTTTCTAACAAACCACAGCTCCCACCACGCCAATGCTCATTCCAGTACGTTTTTTAGTTCAATAGTTTGAACTTATATATTCATCGGATTATCCAAACGCTGTGGATTTGAATTGTCGAAACAGTACTAATTTCCGAATAATCAAATATCCAAATATTTAGGAGCCTTAATTAATACAGTACTCGTACCATTAAAGACTGTTGTCAAATTAAGATTGATACGTTAATTCTTTTCACGACACCACGAAAGCTGTTATATCTCTTGATAAAAAATGCATTAATTTTTTTTTAAAGTATTTCTGACGCTCGAGTGTACGAGCGTATTGTTGCGGATTATCAAAAGATTTAAAAGTATCGCCGTTTATCTTTTTTTTTATTTTTTTAACAATATTAATTGCAAAACACGGTGGCAATGAAATCAACGGTACACATTTGTCGGTAGACTTTAATATTGTACAGATTGTAACGGCTGTAACTTATGTACAAAACTAATGATATATAACATGTACATATATGTTATAATTATTATTATATTATAGATTCTTAAAACATGCCTCGCTTGTGAATTCAACAAATACTCAATTCATTCATGCAGCTAACTTTGGTCTCCCCCTTTCCGCGGCGTTCGCAGTAATAAATATTAATCGATTAAATGTTACATAACAAAAGTACTTAAAAAGATTTATTAATAACGCCATGCAAGCGGAGGGCCAAGGTTACTTTCAACGCGCACTCATATATTTCGAGAACTTTATCACGTCATACATAAAAATAGTATCAACTTTTCCATTTTATCCCATCATATACATATCGCTATATATAACCACACTGCCCCCCCTCCCTTTTTTTATAATATCTTGTTCCCTTTACGTTTTACATCAATCTTTATGATATTTACAAATTTGTGTAATTGTGGAGTCTTATGTACAGTACACCTCATTATTCGTTATTATTATTATCATTATTATTATTAATCAAACTATCTTCCATATACTCCCATTTACGTTTATGTATGAATGTATATCTATAAATGAAAAAATGTGCTATGCACTTTATAACATTACATGTATATCGATATAAAATGAAATTATTAGAGCAATCACATTGATAATTTCATTTTATACATTGCATCCAATGATATTATTTGAATAATTACCAAATTAAAAATTATACTGTCGAAGTCGAAATTTCTATACATATTAATATAGAACTCCACGTTAGAAACTTCAATGAAAAATAGAATTTCTGCAGTACATTAAATAAATGTCGTAAAATGAATTATGCTGATTATAATTTCAAACACGTTTAGTTGAAAAAATATACATGTCTAAATTGAGATGTTGGACGTTGAACTCGTTTCACCAACCAGTCGATTTCAACATATACGTATAAGTTAATAACAGGATATCGTACATTTTTTAATAGTACAAAATTTACTATAAAGTAAGATATTGAAATTTCGTTCACTTTCTTGAATCTTAATTTTGTCCTAACCGGATTACGTTTGCGCAGGAAGCATCTATTTATTACACGTTATTATTAAATCGTCATCGGACTTTTTGATGAAACAGTGCGACTCTAATCGTATAACGCTACTTGACCTATGAGGTCGTCTTTCTCATGTAAATATTAAAATCCTTGCATCACATTCTCGTTGACATTTTAAATAATCTTTATGTAACAAAGAACACTCTTTTGTTTTTTGGAAAGTATCATCACAAGATGGAAAGATTAATCTTACATGTTCCGTATGTTCTCAAAAATCTTCTAAAGACCATCTCTAAATCGGCGTTAATATGGCATAATAATCAATAAGGAGTATTCTGTGAAATTCGAGCAAGCAACTACACGACAGCGGAGATGAGTTTAATTAACGCAATACAAGAAGATAAGTACCATATCAAAGTAAAACCCGTTACGCAAAATAGGGAATTATCACTTTTCACTATGTCGTGAGTGATTTAACTTCCTTCAAATGGCAATATATCGATTTTTCTAATCGGAAAATTTTTCTACGATACTTCATCGACTATAAAGTTACAATCGACTCTCTCGGTGTAGAAATTATATCAAAGACTATACAAGTCTAAAAGAAAGCACACACACATATATATATGAGCTTTTTTTAGATTATTTATATATATATATATATATATATATAAACAATAATTATCGGTTTATAGTGATACCGGGGTTTCTTCCATTTCAGGTGTCAAAATATATATCAAAACTCGAGGTACGCAATTGGCTACGATATTCTACTACTTCCTAATGAGAATATTTACGCAGTACAAGTACGTCAACGAAATCAGAATCCCGTCACAAATGCATGGTGCGTTCTGATACTGAACGAACGCGATGATATCAGGTACACGTATTAATCGATCGAATTGCAACTCACGACACAATACTTTCAATTTTCACGGAAATGATATTATAGAGTCCAGTCGACTTGCTTGATAGAAAACAATACTTGAATCGAAACCAAATCATCACAACCGCAACGTGGATTCTTTTGCATTTGCGGATATGCAATTGAAAAAAAAATACCAAATTTCGAAATTTCCAGACTCATTATTGAGTACAGCCATATCACAAACCTGCCTCTCATATACTTGTGTTTCTTTAGAAGCTTTCCGATTTGTTTAAAAACCTATTGAAATCAATCAGTCTTGCGTGATCACGTGCTAGCGGGATGACTGTGAATGTTAACGTTAACCTGCGGAATAAGTGGAGATGCGAGCGGCTTGGGCGTGGTGGACTCTGGTATTGGTATGGAGACCGCAGGAGGTACTGGCGAGTGTTTCTTGGCTCTGTCCTGTTGCCAAGGTTTCGCATTATCCTTGCCTAACCTCTCGCTGAGTGCTTTCAGTGCTATTTGCCTGTAAAATCGATAGCAATTGGAAAGATGAGAATGAACTTGCAAAACTCTGGGCTTCAAGGCCGACGTCCGACACACTGAACATTTGTATGTGGTATCGTGCGCTTTATTTCGTAACTACTCACCTGCGTCGTTCGCTATCGTGAGGATCTATACCGGGAAGATTAATAACCAAACCGGGCGGCGTGTTGGACATGTCGAACCTCCTGACTACTTTCCGGCAGAGTCCGATACGCACGAAGAAACCATGAATTGTATTACTCACCACCGCTATCGGTGGTTGCAGGACGTTTGGGAAAAAGCTGTGAAAAATGCGGTCAAGGTGAAGCAATTATTCTATTCATCTCCTTGTAAGTTCAGTTCAGTTTATGGGATTCTCTCTTACCTCGCAAATGTAAAATTATCCGCCATGTCTCCTCGTGTACCATTGTTGTGTTTCTGATAAAATCTCAGGTATACCCAAGACATCAATAATCCGCTGAAAAACATAGTGGGGTGAGTGCCTTCTAGTAGTCCCACAAGCCACAATATCAATCCCAGAATCCAGATCATTAGAGGTATATTTCTATTGGTAATCTTTCCGATAGGTGTTTTGACTAAAATATGATCTGGCATTATTTGCTTCACTGCCACTGAAACACCTGTAAAGTAAAATATTATTTATGCAGACTTTCTGTGTCACACATATTATAAAGAATATAAAAATATATCATTATATAAAAGATATCTTGTACTCATTGAATCCAAATAGAATCCATATAGTGATATCAAATGATACCACTCCATATTTGAATAGCAATGAAAACATTTGATGTTAGATAAAAAATCAAGAAAAACAATTATATCTGTACTGTAATAAATAAGAACTTAGATTTACATATAGATTATATGTAGAAAATAACTGTGATTTCAATATACCTACTTTTTAAAAAGAGATAAATTTATCATAAGTTGATGTAAATAAATATCTTAGAAATAGCATTTTATTTTACAATTACACATTACTTGAGAACTTTCAAAATTCTCGCTTCAGAGAAGAAATGGAAGATAAAATGTCTAGGATATTTGTATGTGAATGATATAGAAAATACTCGACCAAATTGTGCGATACTCTTGATCGGTGTATGAGTTTCAGTATCATTTGCAACACGCACAGTTAATGACTAGGTGAAATCAGCTCGGAGAAGAGGATATACCTGCGATATAGCCGGCCAAGCCGTGTATGTGTATGTTAAAGAGCAGATCCGTATTGTTGGTGCACATGTAAAGGAACAGATAGAAGAGCGCCGAGAGAACTGCGACGCCGAAATTGACGATCGCGAAGAACGTCATCATCTCCACGGCGCCCCAGAGCGGCTCGATCAGTTTGCCGCACAGGCCGACGGTGACGATGTCCGCGCACACTTCCCAGAAATGTATTTCGAGGAAACAGAAGGTGAACGCAGTCCAGAACCAGAAGGCCGGCGGCAGCAGGTAACCTGGCGTTACGCTCAGGATACGCACCGCTTCCTCGGAATAGGATAGGCAGTACGAAAACAGCACGACCACGCAGATGAACTTGACGCTGGTGCTAGTGTTGCCCAGCAAGGCAGCCGCCTGTTGCCTCAAGTAGGGAATATTCCTACCCAGGCCCTTGATCGCCGCCATCCTACCACCGAGTAGCCTCCGCGAACCTAACCTCTCTCTCTCCTCTTCTTGGCGAAGGGAGAGAGAGAGAGAGAGAGAGAGAGGGTAGGTGTGTGAGTGAGAGAGATAGATAGATAGATAGATAGATAGATAGATACATAGATGAGAAAGAGAGAGAGAGAGGGAGAGAGAGAGAGAGAGAGAGAGAGAGAGAGAGAAAATTACTCCGTTACTCGCGCTGCCGTTTGACGTTGGCCGTAAGCGTCGCGACATCAGGTTCATTATCGTCGATCCGCGATATCGACGTGTGACGAGCAGAACGATCGACCAATCACCTGGTTTGATCGAAATCGAAATGCTTGAGACAATTTAAATTTATGTTCAGAGTATAACCGGTCTGTCGCGAAATTCATTTGTATTTTGTCTCCCGAGGGTCGGTCGTTGATGTCGGATCACGCGCCTAATTGCGGATCCCTGCGAGATTGCGCGGAATGTCGAGTAAACGTGACCATTCCTCTGTAAGTTGTACTCCGTAATTATGTTGTTTTCAAGTTCGAAACTCTTCGCTGATGAACAGAGCGTAACGGTTTTGTTCGGTTGTGCCTTTAACCTCTTTGCACATCTTTGCGCTATGCGTTTTTTATACGAATTACTTCGCATAACCTTCGACAGTTTTGTCCGATTCTGCGTTTGATAACGTGATAAAGGCTGCGGTTCTATTCACGCTTATAAGCGTCATTTTTATCTTTATTGTTCATTACATGCCGAAGAAAGATAGAATGACGCTTAACCTGGGAATAATCACCTGGGGTCATTTCATACCCCAGCGGTCAGAAAACGAAGCTTACGTGCAGTGGATTTTTTTTTACTGATCGGGAACCAATATTTACCTTCTATTCGGACATTTAGAGATCTAAAAGCACAACGAGAATAAGCTGTGACCCGTCTTATTCATAGTATAAGCTTGTAAAAACATATTGGGATGCAAAACGACTCTAGGTGATCGTTTACGTTATAAAATTAGTCAAGTATGGCAAGAGTTCGTATTGTGAAGACAAGATGGTAATAAGTTTGAATGAAGTTATATGTATTCATACCTAGTAAACATTAAGCAATATTTATGTTATATCTGATACTGATCGATAACAATATCCAGAAAAATAGGCAAAGGTACTATTATTAAATATCTAGTATTTGTATTTATTGTTTATAATTAACATATATAGTTAACATAACATTTATTATAAATGAAATAAATATCTTAAATTATACTTTTTATTTAATGTTAAACATAAAAAAATACCTATATTCTTAAAAATGTATAATTTTTTGTTTAAAAATATTGATTATGTTATGTATTAATGCAATACAATGAAGAAATATAAAAATAAATAATTTTCTATAATCCTGAATCAATACTAATAACTTTGTATGACGGCGATTTAGTCTCACTTTACATTCTTATAAAATTGAACGTTATTTAATATATTTTCAATCTTTTTTACTAATTATTCTTTACGAACCTTGAAATATCTTATTCCATTAAAAATGGACAATAAAGCAGCGTTTTTGAAACTAATATCTTCATTTATTAAAAATACCGTCATCATTAGCCACTTGATGTGCTTATTTCGATTCTTAAAATATTTTTTTGGTTTTCCCTTATTAAAAAATATAGCGAGTAAATCTATATTTAACGTTCCTAAATAATAATAAATCATAGATAATAATCAATCGATAATATGCTATTTTGTTAATAATAGTAGGTTTTAATTGGAGTCTAAATGATCCCAGGCGATCGTTTATGTAAAAAAAAAAAGGTGACTATTCCCGGGTTAAGGTGCGTTCGGGGAGACGTTATTAACGCTATAAACATTACCAACACTGTTCGTAGAGCCAATAACGCAGTAGTGATGGTAAGCTCTATGAATGGCTATAGCGTAACGTTAGTATTACTGCGCTGTACCGTCGTTTTGCATCTTCTGTTTTTCTTCGAGTTAGATTAGGTTAAAAGTCGTAGTTTAATCTCCTCTTCAGTCTCAACATCCCGAAGCTTTATTTCCACGCAACTGTCCATTACGTACGGGATGCAAATAGCAAAATAATGAATACAATGTACTCGTACGATATTCATGTGCAGGAGTTATAATGTTGCAATATTTAATGCAATATTTAATGCAGTTATAATTGTGCAATGTTGTGCAGTTCACGGAGCTTGCAAACACTAACGTTACCCCATTATACTATCTCGGAAGGAATAGCGTTTGTAGTGCGAAATTATGACGTAAAATACTACCACTAGTGACGTCATGTGATCGCATTTGTTAGTACTATCTTCTAGCTCCGCGAAAAAACAACATTTAGTGCTAAATAGCGCTAATAGTGTCTTTCCGAACGCACCCGTAATGTTGACATTAGCGTCTGCAAGCTTCGTGAACACTCAGAACTGCATGTCACTCTGTATCATGGCTCCTGTACATGAATATCGTATAATTCGAGTACATCGTATCCATTATTTTACTATTATTCCCGTACGAATAATAGACATTTGCGTGGAAATAAAGCTTCAATATGTTGAAACTGAAAGCAAGTTTAAACTGCGATATTTGACTTAACCTAAAAAGAAATTTAACCTAACTCGAAAAAAACAGAAAATGGTACAGAACAACGGTATACAATACAATAATTGGTTTGCTCTTTTTAGCTGCACTGCTGAACTGATGCAGTAACCCATACAACATCGAAACCTTTCAAAGATATTTCAGAAATGTTTCATGTGAAAAAGTGAAACATCTTAGAAACGTTTCAAAATGTTTCTGAGACAGCTCTAAGACGGCTCTGGGATAGGAAAATGTTCGCGATTGTTGCACTTAAAACCTTCCTGAAGATTAAAAAGTTACCGAAATATATCTGAAATCTTTTTGATTGTTTGTTGAAAATTTACTGAAATAGTTACGTTTATTTATTTACGAATTATGCATTAATATTGTTTGCACATTTCAGTATCATATATTATGGAAAATATAACATAATCAAGTAAAATTATTAAAACAACTTTAATAACATTTATATGATAAGAAAATTAATCATATTTGTTAATAATTATTAACGAATTTTGAAAACATTGTTGAATAAAGGAGAGATAGTCCTGGCTGCTTGCTGATAACTGTGGAATTTGTTTCTCACATTTCGCACGTTTTTTCGCATCTTTACTATCTCAAACGGTAGCCAGCCATCTACTTCTACTAGTACGCGGTCGCCGTTATTTAACTTTGATAATCGGAAGGCAAGTAGTGAGTTCAACAGTTGTGACGATATCCTTATGACTCATGCTTATGTAATGTATACTTATATGATACCTTGCATATGTCCTTTATATTGACCAAAGTGTTCTTATGGTTTACAGGATATCCCAAAATAACCATGTGCAAAAAACGAAAAATCATAAAATTTATCACATGTGAAAGATTTCTGAAACAGCTCAATTGAAAGGTTTGCAAAATCATTTTGTATGAAATGTTTCAGAAATAACATAACTGAAAGTTTTGCAAAATTATCTTCATATGGAAGGTTTCAGAAACATTCCTGTTGCAACATTTCAAATGACATATTGCAGAATTCTTTCAGAAATGTTGCACATGAAATGTGAAAGGTTGAAATGATTTTTAAACGGTTCTGAAAGCTTTCTGCAACAATCAGTGCTATATGGGAAGTTAGAGTGAGACAAGTATATTTTGTCTCACTCTAACTTGTTGCCACCAGTTTAGCAGTGCAGCTAAAAAGAACGGAACCCAATGCTAACGCTATGATAGTGCTGTTCATGGAACTTGCTATCGATTGTTTTCGTGCTATTGACCCCACGAAGAACATTAATAGTGTTAGTGTTTATAACGTTAATAGTATCTAATTAATCTCCTCGAACGCACCTCTCGAAAGGAATAGCATTTGTAGCGCGCAGTTACAACCTAGCACACCACTACCAGCGACTTCATGATTGCGATTTGTTAGCACTATTCTAACTTCGCGAACAACCTTTAGCACTAGATAACGCTAATAGCTTCTCTCCTTACAGTGCTGTAAGCGAGAATTGGACCGCAGCCAAAGCGTTCCACGTAATCTTTGTGCATTGCTTAATTATAAGATTTTTCGGAGAACACGGTCACGATTGTTTCATTACAATGTTAGGTTTTGCGAACAAAACTCCCATAAAAATCAAATTCTGATAAGCTAATAGATGATTCAGCGTGATTTTTATCAAACTCTAATTAATCTAATCGACGATTTCAAATTACCGTCAATCTTAAATATTATCTTATTAACCCAGATAGAAATTGTTAGCTTTTCAATTATTGTTAAATAGCAAGTTACACGCACGCACGTACGCACAGAGAGAGAGAGAGAGAGAGAGAGAGAGAGAGAGGTACATACTGCACACAAGTAAATGTTACTTGTTTCAAATATTTCATAAGTTTATATACCTACAGAGATATATCACAAGTTCATCATAAGCATCAAATTTATTCAAAATTTATTCTGAATCTTAGTTAAGTTTAGTACTTCAATTAAGAATTTTAAATTAAAACCAAAATCAAGTTATCAATTTAAATTAACTGAATCTCTGATTTTTCCTTAGTAAAGTTTTATAATATTTTTGACAAGAGAATTAATTTTTCTTTTGAGTACGTGATAATGAGCTTTCTTAAAATTTGTGATAAATATATTTTAAGACTATTATCGAGAAAATATTCTTTGAAAGTAACTATTACTTAAAACAAATTAAATTAAGTAATCGCTTTTTTTAGTAGAATATTTTTTCTGTGTGCAGAACTGGAAATTGTTGTTGACAATTATCATTATTCACCGGCTAACTTAATCAGAATTTGATAAAGGTCACCATTAAAACTGCTGTCATTTAAGTATTATCTGTTTTACCTTGCTGACACGGATAGAAATGATTAACTCCTCGATTATTGTTGAACGATAAGTTAAAACGAACAATTGGTGCCGGTAATTGTTATTCATCGATTAGATTCATCGGAGTTCGGTGGAAATCACCCTATGTTTGATTTCTCTACTCATAACTGTACGACCATTTGTAGGTAAGTATCGGGAGCTGTTCGATGGCTGTAACGTGGCGACTCACCACGGAAAGTCGTTTTACAAAAATTGTCGCACATGTTCGTTTCCTACCACGACGATAATTTCTTCGTTATCCGTTGAAACCTTGATTTTCTCGGAAATCGGCACAATCTCGAAACCCATTTCCGCACGTCAAGTGGCAGTTTAAATCTGCGAATCACTGCCGGATTATAATTGTGTGTATCAAGAGCTACATATAATACTTGCAAATCCGTTGTTTTAAGAAGGATTGTTGTGGAAGTAGTAGATGTCGCGAAGGTGATATCACGAACAACAGGTAGAATATATAATTTATACACATGGTATATGATAAATATAATTAAAAGGAAATTATATTATAGGAAAATTCAATATATAGTTAATGCACTCTATGAACCCCAAGTCCAATATATTACACTGGTTTTTCGACATTCTAATTGAACCATCCCTCACAGCACATCAACCAGTAAGATTAATTACAGTAATCTTAAATAGTAACATTCCATGGAGATTAATAAACCTGCCGTTAATTTCCCAGTAATATGAAAATTTTCATCTAAATTCATTCCATTAACGTCCTAGGAACCTTGAATATAACGTTACATTAATATTTATGCAACATATCAGGGACCTCCTAATCCAAATAAAATATATTTTATACAAAATTTTATAAAAAAACTTTTGACCATTTCCTCTAAGTTGAGACTTAAAGAAGGACTTGCTGAGACCTTCTAATATGCAAAGAGGAAAAAAATATCGTTATTTCATATCTTTTCGTGGTTTCGATTACAATCGGCGGCCGTTCGTCCACCTACTAACCACACTACTAACCACACTTTTTCGGAAAAAAATAATTATATATGATTATATATATACGTGATTATATACATGATTACATATATGAAGTGTTCAAATTTAAATTATAATTTATTATTTATTCTAAAAACAACATAAAAGAAGTAATTTATATATTGCTATTTTTCAATATAGTCTCCCTTCTCTTCAATGCACTGGCGCCATCTTTCCGGTAACTTTCGTATTCCTTGAAAAAAATTCTAGCTGCAGGAGCACCCACTCTCGAATAGCTTCGATGCCTTCTTCATTGGAACGAAACTTTCTCCCCTCTAAAAATTCTTTTAAGAATCCAAACTGTAAAAAGGCATCCTCTTTTTCTTCATATTATGTCAACAGCGAATGACAGAATCTGCAAGCATGTCTGCTTGTGTTCGTTCGTTAGCAGTCGTGAAACCCAACGTACGTATATTTTCTGATAATGAAGTTAATTTCTGATACAGATATCTGCACTACCAACACTGACATTGAATGTCAAGAAGCAGTATCCCACACCGTAATTCGATAATTATTTCGAACAAGTGTGTTAATCCTGTCAGCCATCCCTTCTGTTATTGATGTTTTCGGGCGTCAAGAATGCGGTTCATTCTCGACACGTTCTCGGCCATCTCTGAAAGCTTTACTCCATTTATAGACGCTTATATCTGACAACATTTCCTCACCAAACTATCTTTTAAGTCTTTCATAAATTTCTGATGATTTCACGTTTTCTTTCGTAAAAAATTTAATAAAAAATTAAATCAAATTGATAAAAATATAAATTAAATTAAAATTAAATAATAATGCGTTGTTCCACACTTCGATGCACTTCTATTTCACTCATACCTGTCAAACGAATAACATTACACGCTGGTTGCTGGACGATTAAATCAAGTTAGCATTTGTTCCCGCACATCAGGCAATATTATCAACTTCAGCGTTTGTTTCTATTATTTGGCGCTAAAATCAAATTATAATTTAAATTTGAACACCCCTCGTAATTATATAAAATCATATATGAATTTTGCCCATATATGTGGTTATATATATGACTATATATGTTTATACAAAAACAAATGATGTTATGTCATTTAATGAAATGCCAATATCCTGTGCTGTCAGAAGCATTTATGTTGCTTGTATTTGCATATAATTTGTAAACCACAACAGTATTTTTTCGTTATGGACATATATGATTACATATAATCATATATGCGCAAATTTCATATATGACCTTTTTTCCTGGTTGTTGCTTGACTTCGATGATTGGATGATTAACACTGATTCTAACAGCTCTGACAATATCTTTGTGTCTTATGTTTATAGTCACAAAATATTATAATGAATATTTACTGGCAAACATTAAAAACAACGCAACAAAAATTGATATGCAACGAATATTAATACGATATATATAGAACTGTACCAAAGATGCTATGAATGAATGTCCTTGGGTTTTTAACCATGCTAATGATTATTCCAAGTAATAAATTAATTGGAAACGAATCTAAGAAAATTAGAATCAAACAAACGAGAATATTAAATTTAAAGAAACTTTTTCTCTGTGCAAGCCTAAATAAAACCTAAGTCATATAAAAATTAAGATGTAAGATTGCTGAAATATTGAAATAAGATTCCATTAATATTATAATAAGATTCCATTAATATAATATAAGGTTATATTATAAGATTAATGTATATCAGCAACATTAAAATGTGTAAGATTATAACTTTCCTATAATTTTATAATAATATTCGGTGCTGTGAGGAGACGTAAGATATACGACATACCTTATAATATATAACCTTAAAATATTGTTGAAAGATTAATAGAAAGATTAATAGAAAGATTAATAGAATCTCCTTTCAGAAATTGCAACAACTATCGCATTTTTCACATATCATATCATATATTATCATATCATATATCATATGTTGATATATTATGGAAGACTCACACAGTGTCCGATGATACGATATACGATATCCATTAGAATAGTTTTCCAATAGAGAATTATGTTCTCTATCAGAAACCTGTTCTCTTTTTGGATATCGTATGTCGTAACATCGGACACTGTGTAAGTCTTCCATAATACCAACATATAATATATGATGATAACATATGATATGATGTCCGAAAAATGCGATAATTGCTGCAATTTCTGAAAGGAGATTCTATTAATCTTGCAGCAATATTTTAAGGTTATATATTGTAAGGTTACTAAAATATTGACGCAAGATTCCATTAACCTTCGAACAATATTGTAATGTAAGATTATATTATAAGGTTAGTGATATATACCAGTAGCTTTTTCATTAAACTATGTAAGGTTGTAACCTCCCTCTAACTTTAGTGCAATGTCCGAGCTGTGAGGGTAATATCGAGCTATTTAGAACTATTGGTTTGTTAATGCAATAATAAATAAAATCAAAGTAGATGTCGTCAAATACAAGTTTAATATTGATATCTTGATAAGCACTATCTATTAACTATTATTTAGACTTTTAGACCCGTGCATAGATTTCTAATAGCCCTATATTAACACTTTAACGGCCGCTCACATAACATGTGTGTGATGCTACCGCCGAAGAAAATATTGCCGGCCTCTGGCAACATTTGACTGCGTAGACGTGTGGCCGTTAGTGTTAACAATTAAAAAGTAATATTGTAGCAAGGATACAAATGAAGACAGTAGCGCAACAGCAACTATTTATAAAGTTATTTTTAGCCAGATATCCTTACAGAAAAATATTACTACCTATAATAAATTGTCCAGTGAGCAACAGTAATTTATTACTGGCCAATTTATCATAGGCAGTAATATTTTTCTGTAAGAGTAAGCAATATTCCACACTTTAAAGTATGATTGGTTTGATTAATTTATATAAATAAGGTTAAAGTTTGCAAATTAGAGAAAATTTTATCGAATCTCAAATAACAGTTCCACTTAGGAGAGTTAATTAAGAAGGAAATTCTTGAAGTAAAGTAATGCAAAATTAAATTATTATTATTCATATTTTATATTACTATTTCATATTTGTTATACACAAGTTGCCCAATTGTAAAACATCAACGAAGCAAAAGAATCGCATCGTCCATCAAATCACGTGTGGATTCTGAAAATAATAACAACGTTAATTGCAAGACGATTAACGAAAGTTGTCCGAATATTTCGGTAATTGGAGCGGCAAGATCGATCGAAAGAACATCGAGGAAATCGGAAGGAAATTCAATCGAGTCCTTGTAAAGACAGCAGCGACGAGATCAATCATAGAATGCCTTATGTTCAGCCAAGAATTCGAATCTCGGCAGAGGAATGAGCAGCGCTCAGAATCAATTGAGGTAAAAAATTGAACATACTGCTCTGTGCTCGATTATCTCATAATAGAGTGTTCTAGTCGATTGATTATAACATACATTCAATAAAAATATTCAAAATGGTTGAGTCAGGATCTGGAATTATAGGATTATGTCATTCAAAATATACTTTCGTTAAATGATTGCTTTGAATTCTTCGCGGCAAATGTTTCCATCTCTTAATTAAGATCATAATTTTCGTTAGATATATCGTTATATACAAAGAAAAGGAAAATAGAAAATAGAGAAGAGATGAGTTAAGACTCTTGGTTCCTCACTGCAGTTTGTTTGTCTTGTTTGATGACGTCAAAAACGAGAAAACGCATGCCCAAAATGTCTACGAAATACGTTCAATTAAAAGAATATGTCATAGAATGACATTTGCGATCGATTGAGAAAATGTATTGGTAAAATATTCTCAAAACTTTCCATTTGTTCCAACGATTGATGAATAACCGTAAAATTAACGTGACATGCAAACCTCCTTTTTTGCCTATTTTTCTCAAAATTTTGTCACGTTAATTTTATGACTATTTATTGAGATTATTAAAATGAAAGAAAAATTCTCTGAATATTTTACAAATGTGCTCGATCGATCACAAATATCATTTTATGGACATATCCTTTTATTTCAACGTATCCTGTAAAAATTTTCAGTACATGTTTTCTCTGACGCCATTAATCAAGATAGTTGCAGCGAGGAAATCTTAAGAATAATTTTATCATCAGACATTTATATCGTGTATATTGTGCTTTTACATTACACTAATAGAAATCTCATTAAAATTATAGTTATTTTCGGCCTTAACTATATTTTTTTCTGGTTTTAACCTAAAAATAGCAATTGCAATATGCATGTAAAATTATTATCACTGACATTATACAGGATGTTACATGATACACTATATAAACATAAGGAGCACGTTTCTGATGTAAATTGAAGTAGATTTGTCGTATAAATATAAGTTCAACTCGAAACAGTTATCCATCTACAAGTATCAAAAGCGTTTAAAGTTTATAAAAATGAAATAATAGCATAATTTTTCGGAACTTATTTTGGTTAAAAATAGAAGATAAGAGAAAGAACATAAAGATTGAAAATTTAGCATGTGAAAATTCAGATACAAAAAGAAAGTTAATATTTGAACTGAATTAATATAGCGTATCAATAACACGCGTAAATAAATAAAAAATAATTTTGATGTTCTTTTTGCGATCACTCGATCCACTTTACATCGCACCGTACTATGTATTAATGTGGAAGGACGTCAATTTGAATAATTTATGTTTAATTTTGACGTTTTCTTTTTTACTTTTAATTAAGATGCATTTTTCAAAATATTATGTGCTATCATTTGTAAATTTTAAATGCTCGTAGATGGACAACTATTTCGAATCAAGCCCATATTTATAGGATATTTTCTGCTTAAATTTACATCCGAAATACGCTTCTCAAGTTTGCACAGTGTGTATCATGTAACACCCTGTACACCACTTATTAGAGAAATGGTTCTTCAGACTAGAATTTTTTCGCTTGCACGATCATAGTTACAAGTAACAGAAATCGTTTTCCCCTATGTATTTCGAGTTTATCATCACAAGAATAACGAGATTCTAATTGCACCTGATCGTGAACTCACACCTACGTGCGTAGTATCTACATGCGTAACTGCTCCTATTACAATCGTGAGCGGCCACATGAGGCAGAATTGAGGATTGTGAGCACAGATATTTCCAGTACGGGCGAGAATCGGACGCGGGTAACCCTCTCCACCTGCGAGTCTGAGACCGCCGTTAGCACCACCGACATACCGAGACGAAAGTATCTGCCGTTAACGGTGGCGAGTCGCAGCCCCTGCGTACTTTCTCGCAGGCGAGTATCCTTCAGCGACGCCGTTGTCGAGACCGCCGATCGCCGAGCAGCGATCATGCAAAACGATCTGACGTGTTCGCGTCGCGATAACGGCGGCAGAGCCGGCGAGCGGGAAACCGTCTACGACATATGGCAGGCGGACGACGCGGTCGGCAGAAGCGACGACGGCTACGAGAACACACCGAGGATCGATAATTATTTGGAAAACCGCGTGTCGGATTGCACCCTCAACAAAGATCGGGATTTGCCGGAAAACGTCGACGAGACCGTTGCGAGAGATGGACGCGTGCGAGACAGCGGCGAGAGCGACGTTCGCTCAGCGGATCACGTCGTCGAGAACGCGCCGGGGAGAATCGAGTACGAAGACGGTACCGTGTCGAACGAGGACATATCCAACTCCTCCAGCTACAAGGACTACGTAGACTCTTACATCGGCCGTGACGAGTGTCGTATGCGAGGGGGCTGCGGTGGTGGATGTTGCAGAACGCCACGCAAGAAGTGAGTGGTTTCAACTATATTATCGTTGATACACGTGGAGATACGTTGTATACGTTGACGACTCGAAATTCAGCTTTATTATTTGCAATTCTGTCAGAAAAACCCTGTTACAATTATGAAACAATTGTTTTACAATAACCTGTAAAAATCGGCACGTATAAATCTTCAGTCTCCCCTTTAGGGGTGGATTTATTGCAATTTGGAGAAAATGATGCGGTTTTTTCGTGACGTGATCTATCAATCGCGCGACAAAATTTTGGTTTTTCTTATTTTGCAGCGAATATTTATTCGTACTAATGTTTGTTATATCCTTGCCGGAAATGTTTGAATTAAATGTAACTGAACTTATACATATATATGTGCCTGAAGTAGCGCTCCTGAAGTGACTAAGGAATAGATTCATTTTTTAAAAGCAGTGGCGGATGGTGACCTTTCGGGGCCCGATGCTGATACTATTTTAAAGATCTTTTAACTTTACTATTACTATACTATACTATACTAATATATTATTTACTATACTAATAAATTATACTAATACCATTTTAAAGATCCTTTAACTACTTATACGAGGGTTGCTACTTATATTTCTGGCCCAATAATGAAAAAACAAATATTTATGATCGAAATTGGTTTTATTGTTTTTCAAAATATTCTCCACGATGATCAATACACTTTTGCATGCGTTTGAACCAATTTTCGAAGCACTTTTTCCACTCCGATTGAAGTAACTGCAAAACATGCGTTTTGAATGCATCAACCGCTTCTTCGGATGTCGAAAATCGTTGACCACGTAATTTATTTTTGATGTGCGGGAACAAAAAAAGTCATCGGGTGCCAAATCAGGGCTGTACGGCGGATGACCCATCAATTCGATGTTTTGGCCGGTCAAAAATTCTTTTGTTTGACTCGATGTGTGAGAGCGCGTACTGTCACGATAAAGAATGATTCGCTTCTTCTTCTACTTTTCTCGAATTTCTTCGATGACTTCTGGCAAACAAATGGTCGTGTACCATTCAGAATTGACCGTCCTACGGCGCTCTAACGCCACTGTCGCCACGTGACCGGTAATGCCGAAGAAACAAGCAACCATTTGCTTCGATGTGCTTCTTCCGCGAACAACTTTTGTTGGCTTTGACTCGTCTTGGAAGGCCCATACAGTCGATTGCTGTTTTGTTTCGGGCTCATATGCATAGATCCATGATTCGTCACCTGTGTAAATGTTATACACAGGCTTTGATGTACCTTGAACGTATTTTTTCAACATTTCTTTGCACCAATCAACACGAGTCTTCTTTTGAGCGTTTGTCAGATTATGCGGGATCCAACGCGAAGAAATTTTTTTTACGGACAATGTTCATGCAATATCTTATCGATGCTTGTCATATTAATGCCCAAAGATGCCTCAATCTCACGGTATATCACATGACGATCTTGCTTTATCAGTTCACGCAGAGCATCGATATTTTCCGGCACAACAACCGATTTTGAACGACCTTCACGGAATTCGTCCTGGAGCGAACGTCGACCACGATTGAATTCGTTATACCAGTTTTTTTTACAGTGCTGTAGGATGGTGCTTTCTCGCTGTGTAAAGAATTAAGTTCATCGATGCACTCTTGTCTTGATAATCCACGTCGAAAGTTATGAAAAATAATCGCACGAAAATGTTCACGAGTTAATTCCATTTTTTGCCCTACATGAATTTTTCAATTCACTGTAAACAACACAAACCGCGCTCAAATGACAATGTGTTCTTATGTTCTTATGTTCAACAATGTCAAGTTTCCAATGACACCGTCAGATGGCGCCTGGCAACACTTACTGCTACCAAGGCCAGAAATATAAATAGCTACCTACGTAAGTAATTGAAAAAAAGTGATCTAAACAAAGCTCTCCCTGATGCTCTAGCATTATTTTAGTTGCTATATAAATCCGCCATTGTTTAAAAGCACACAAACAATGAACGTCGTACTAGCATTGTGCGTGACTGTAAAGGGTTGTCGTCTGCAATAGGGTGAGTCGTACAGTCGCAGTCGTTCGATCCAATGAGCTCTGTACTATTATTTTGAAGTGAGCCATCGATAAAGGAAGCTAACTGAGATAGTAGAAAAGGATACGTAGGTACTGGTTGTATCTTCTTCGTTAGAGATTCACTGATTGCTTTATCTTAAATCATTATTACATCATAGCTAAGAACATTGATTCCGTATATATACAGTTCATGAATCGGAAAGGAAATAAATAATAATTTTAATAATAATAGGGAATAAAATAAAAGAACACAGCACTGGGCTACATTTCCATTCTTCTAACTTATCAAACGTCTCACGAGAAATGTTTCATCCGGGATAATTTGAAATGAGATAATCAACGTGCCACGTGCTTCTTGTCTCGTGGTTGACAATGAATCTCTTCGATTTAACTATAACCATTGGCACTTTCCACACTTTAAATAAGAGATATCCAAAGAAATTCAAGAGGTGTAACTAAAACGAGCAGACCATGCAGTTTCCTCCAGAATGAGATCTCGAGAAGACTTACTGCAATAATAGTACAGAGCCCATTAAGTTAGTCCATTTCCAATTTCAGCGACCGATCAATCTGTCGCTGGAATCGAGAGCTTGCCAACTCGAGCGATTGCAACCGTGGACGACGCTTAAGGGCCGTCTACAAGCCGTCAAGTATGCAGTAAGATGTAAACAATAAACTGATAGATCGTACCACAGTAGATTATTCGTGAATTTTGAGAATCCATTTGGTTAATTAGCTTACTGCTCTATGTCTTACCGCATATTTCACGGCAGAACTCAGCAAAATCTGCACACTTCGCCCGGTTTTTCAGCTCGCTTCGCCTAGCGCTATTTTCCCCTTAAGTATCTCTCTCGAACGTGCGAACGACGCTCAGCGAGCACTGATGACACGATGTTTGGACGCAGTAGCGTCGAGAGTTCGCAGAATCACGGTTGCTGCTGCTGTGGCGGAAGATTCGTCGCGGAGCCGAATGAATCATGTGCGCCGGAGCCTATCGTTAGGTGCGACGGCGGTGTTAAAGCAGCTGCTTGCACCGTCGCGGTGTCGCGTTGCTGTTGTCTTTGCGCCCAAGAGTGTCGCCGAGCGGTCTGCAAGAAGGCGGCCACCAGGTGCGGCGAGGTAGCGCAGACAGGTGCCCGAAGTTGCGGCGGCGGTGGGTGTTGCGGCGGCGGGTGTCGCGGCGGCTGCGGGAAACCCGGTCGGATCTGCATGCCGTCGTCGTCGCGAGTCTGCAGCCCGCCGGCTCGACCTCGGTCCTCGTGCGGGAGGTCGCCTTGCGCGCGACCTCGCTGTCCCACGCGGTCCCCTTGTCCTCCGGCGGATCATGCGACAAACGGATGTTTGTCCGGTTGTGGAAGTTGCCACTGCTGCGACGGAGGAAGACACGAGTGCGGAAGGTGCGAACTGCAAGTTCCTGCGCGGAATATCCCGAAACCGTCAGGGATATGCTCTGTCTCTTTTGTTCTTTTTCCACTTTCGAGGCCGACTCGGCACCAATTTTCTTACACGGTGAAAAATTTTGTGTAAATAACGATCCACTAAAATTTTTGCGTCAATTTAATATAGGAATATATTAAAAAATGTTAAAAAGATGTTGAAAATGTTGAAAAATACACAAAATATATGTGAAATAAACATATTCTCCTTGTTAATATATTAATTTTTAACGTATTCACCCTAATAAAGTAATACAAAAATTTCAGCGAATCATTACTTACACACAATTTTTTTGTGTGCAGATTCTCCTAGTAATTTATATTGGTGTCCTCAAATAACAGACGTATCCGAAATTTTAATAGACATCTCCGTTGGATCTCTCGGGCTCCAAATCAGATGATCTTATCATGTTTTGTCAATATAAGTTGTTGATTGACATACTTCTTGATTTCATCGTGAATTGACATTTAATTATGAAATTTTTTATCAAATGAATTTTCCTCATCTACTTATAAAAAGTTCATCTCTATACCGAATATGATTTTAGGTAGTTGAAGGGGAAAATTCCAATAACTCTGGAGCACCCTTGATGGAACAATATTTCGTGATTATTTTTAATGTTGAAAATAATAATGAGAAATACAATTTTGTAATTGATCGTTCTCGAGTTGTTACGAGGATAGTAAAAATCTACACAAGTTGCACAAGTTGAAATATTATAATTTGATATTAATTGTTAATATACGATATTGTTATGAATTTAATGCGTTATTAATTTAACGCGTTATCAATATGCCATTATGATCTTTATAATCATATAATTGGGACATACTATATAGAGTTTAAGTTACTTGTGCATACAAATTTATATAGGCTACGTGATGTGTTTGTTTGCACTAAATCGTAGCGCGCGCGTCTAACTAACAAAGTGGGTTGTTAAGTGTCAAAGAGCCTACTTAACTTGCGCTAAAGTGTAAATACAGATTTATATATATAAAATACAAATTTATATATATAAAATATTTTCTTATATCAGTTAGTAGAATTATTTAATTGATGATATGATCGCGGAACGATCTAATGTCGGTCTTAATGATATCAATATCCTTCGTCTTACAGAAATGTTTAGTCGGCTATAAAGTAGCTCGTCAATATTTTTTAGCGAAGCTGAATCCAAATCTTTCGAAAGTAAGCTCGTTTTTTAGTTGAATCTCAGTTCAGCACAGTTTAATTCAGTTCCAGTCACAGATTTATCTCAATTTGGTTTAACTATACACTTTGTCGAATTTTATGGGGTTGTAATAATATATAATAATATTTACAATTTAAAAATTAAAACTTACTCAAATCTTTCTTCTCTCTGCATCATTCTTACTCCCAAGTGAAATAATTACAAATAACATTCGAATGAATCATTACAACGTCAAAGTTGTCGGAATCGTGCTCGTATAAACGTTATATGGAAAAAAATTAGTGTCAGTTCGAAACTTATATTCTCACACATATATATAGGATGTCTGAAATCTTTCTTAGGATCCGTGGTACATAGATAGAACAGGTGAAACTGAACAAAAAATCATGTATCATTTTGCAAAACTCGCAATAGTTAATGAAAAATTCATTAATCTATATGAGCTAATAAACGTACGGGAAGCGGTAAGTCAAACTCTATATAAAGAAAAATAGCTTATTTCTGAAGATCTCTTAGTATAAAAGCTTGTAGCAATATGGGATCAGTTGATATCCGTTATTGCTAGGAAATCTTTGGAAGTCATTTTTCTTCATATAAAATCTAGCCCATTGCTTCCCGCCTGCTCATTAGTTCATACCGATTAATTAATTCTTCATTAACTATAACGAATTTTACAAAATGGTACATGACTTTTCTGTTCAGTTTCACCCATTGTCCTATCTGCACATTACAGATCCGAAGAAAGATTTTCAGACACTTTGTATATAAGAATATGAATCTCGAAAGGATACTAATTTTTTTCCGTGTAAAAGTAATAAATCGAATATCTCGAAGAAGTATCCGATATTACGCTTCGGTTGTGCTGTAGATCATCTTGATTTGTCGCACAGCTCGAGACGCCGATCCATCCTCGTCAGCGGTTGTTGTGTCAACGATAGGACAAAATGCGGTGCTGACGGAGCTTGCTGTCGACTGAAACTGCCGATGGGCTGCGAGTGCTTCGGCGGCGGTCTCGACTGTCGGCGATGCGGAAGAAAGGTCTACCAGGCTGAGATGCAAGTGAGTACAAATCTCGAATGCTATCGATAATTCGCGAGATTGAGGCCTATATATTACGTAATATCGTTATAGCATCTGTAACAATTGGAATATACAGAATGTGGATCTGTATCTGTACAGAACTGTATCTGTCAGTTTATAGGTCGAACTACGTGTTTTTTACGTGTAAGTTGTTTAACTGCTGGAAGCTGATTGTTGCTTGCGTCAATTTTTAAAGATCGGTGAATCATTTAAATCGACGAACCGCTATAAAGCGAACAGATAGAAAAATGATATTATTCTACGCAGGGAAAAAGATTTCTTTGGATTTAATATATATTATAGTATATAATATATTTGTTTGACTTGAGTATATTTAATATAAACAACATAATTTCATGTCAAATATCAGTCCGAATGGAAATGTTGTAGTTTTACTTTAGAGTAAACTATGTTGTTTAATAGAAAAAAACAGGATTATATTTAGAGGAAATAATAGTTTGGTTTTCAAAAAAAGAAAAATTTATTTCATTACATATTAAATGTTCCACTGAAATAAAAAAAAAAGTTCTTTGAAGTTCTTATTTTCGTAACATAATGTTATTCTTTTCAAATAATTTATTGCTTGTGACAACCATTGTAATGTTTAGGTTAAAATGCAAAAAAAATGTGTTATTTAACGTAAAGATATTTATTGTTTGTGAAACCAAATCATTCTATTTGTTGAATCAAACATCCGTTTATTTACTTCTGAAAGACACATTTGTTTTAATTAAAGATTTTTCTCTGTATATCTTTATATATCTGTCATTATCATCGCATTATATAATGGATTCATTTCGGATCAAGTATAACGAGAGAATTGAAATTATAATTAAACTGTGTGAAGTAGAGAGCGGAAAAATATTCAGAATTCGCGTTAGAAATGACTACGTTTAATTGATTAAGGGGTGACCGATTCCTTTTTAAGATTGTCTCTGGAGCGCCGTATCATAACATTTGCTTCAGCTGTTTTTGTTGCCGAAAGCCGCTGGAATCGTTGACTTATCAGGAGAACTGCGGCGAAATATATTGCAAACGTTAGTATCGCCACAAACCAACATATAAACAAGCATACATGACGCATTGCGCTATTTTTTATTTAACGAAGATAATTTCACCTTTTCTCTTTAAATTTTGGAATTTTTTTTCTTTTCGTTTAAACGCTCTAACTATCATTCACACGCTTGACTCTTCGAGCGATGTGACGATATTTTTAAATTGAATCGGTTAATATTATCGATGTTAACTGAGTCTTTTCGATGAATTGCGCAGAATGTTATGTGCGTAATTTTGGACCGCAAGGATACGGTTATGGCGCGGGGGCCGGCGTGCTGCAGACTCCCCTGTGAACTCGTTGACCGCCCGACATTCTCGTGAAAAAGAAAGCATCCAAGTATAATACAGCACATTTTTATCCGCTCCCATTGTTTTTCTTTTTTACGACAGTTATCAAGCTGCACGTGAGAAGGTTTAATGCGCATTAGAGATCGGCCTTTACGAAGCCGTAACGTTTTGTACGACGTTTCGTATACACACGATATTCGATGAGCGTTTTGCTTCGAAATAAATTTTGCGATCAAGTATTATTCAGTAGCTATTATTATTCGTGCTGTTCGACTCGAAAATTCGGCGACAAATCGAGAAGGAGAAAGATAATACAATAAAGCGATCACGCGCGTAAATGAAGTGTGAATTAAAGGTGAAGGTGTGAAATGGGGAAACATTGGCTGCGTTCGGAAGACACAACGGCTGCACAATGGAGTAATTCATCAAACGAGATTGGCCTAAATTTAGAGATCTAAGAGTAAAGACGTACAATAATTACTGACCGCTCACCGGTTGCTTCGTCCCGCTGAACGCAGCCATTCGCGAGGTGGGAAGGAAGAGTCGCGAGGAGCGTGGCCGATTTTTATGTAAGAGGCAAAGGGGATAATTTAATTAAAAAAAGAGAACTCATCGAGTCTCTGCTCGCCAGCGAATCACGCACCGATTTGCCGAGGGTAGATTGAAACGAACCAGATGATACAGAACGGCGAAGAGAGAACAGTGAATTGCAGGCGAGAAAAGTGCGAACGGGAAGAGACTCGCGGGATATCGAGGAAAGATCGAAAAATGTGCGAGACGAGGGAAAGGGGGAGAGGAGAAGGTTTGAAAATAAAGGCGCGAGAATCCGATCGGATTTGACCTAGTTCGAAGCCTACGTTAAACTTTTAATTCTATAACACAGTAAAAGCTAAGATAGTAAAAAATACATTCAATTCTAACGATATAATTTACTCTCACTTCGACTGTTACGTCTTACATTTTCGTTTTCGATATTTCCAGCGTCAAGATAGATTATTTCGAATGCTCATATACGAATTTAATACGTTCCGTGTTATGTGTACCACCGATATATGCTGAACTTTCCGTTTAGGCCAAATTTGCCTCGGCTCCGTTCAGGCCATTCTGTATTTTAGTTTCGAAACGAAATATAATCATAAAGTATTTTGATCGTTATTATAAGACATATGTGACAAATAAAATTCGATTCATAGCAGAGCGATGTGAATCACCGATTCCCGAGAAGTCGCGTAAAAGTAGTCCGGCACGGAACATGTTGACAATTGAAATATCGGGAGCACTTACAGCCTTAAGGTAGCGTTAAAATTAAATCTGTAGAATTAAAGGTCCGAGAGAGAAGTTAAGTACAGTATCACCAAAATAAATGTCTACTCGTCTATAGGTCACCCGAGCAGGCAGAGACCGTCCTTAAAAGCGTCAAAGTAACATGAAAATTTCGACTTGGGTGCAAAAGCTGCGAAACGAGAATACAGAGAGAAAGAAAGAAAGAACGAACAGTCGGTTTACTCTTCCCGGACGAGGGAGATGATAGATTTCGGAATGACTTGTCGGGGACCGATTAGGATAAACCGGACCATATACGAGAAAAAGAGAGAAACTAAGAGAGAGAGAGAGAGAGAGAGAATGTGTGTGTGTGTGCGGAGTCGGAAAAAGCGTTACGAATTCAAGGCAGGAAAAGTGGAAACTGAAAGAGGCTCGCGATGTGTAAGGGGAAAGTGGAACGAGGACGGTGGCGGCGCCACCACTTTCGGAAGGAGCGAGAGAGAGAGAGAGAGGAGGGAGGTGCACGTGGGGGTATAGGACGGCATTTCGTTCGAGTTTGCAAAACAGAGAACGAGGAAGACGAAGGAGGAAAGAGTGAGTGGTTGGTTTATTGAGTCTCTCCGCCGTCGGTGGATTGCGGAAGGCGCGCGGCAGCAGGCGGGCGGTCGGGGAGAGGAGGAGGAAGAGTAAGAGGAGCAGGGGGAAAGGGGAACGGGCGTTTATATAGCTTTCAGGCGCAGAAGCTTAATCTAATTTCAAATATAAATCTGTTCTCTCTCCCCGCACCGCGTCCCTCTCTCTTTCTCTCTTCTCGTTCTCTTCTCCCATCTGCTACGCCCTTCCTATCCGCGCGGCGTGCGCTCTTACCGGCTTACACTATACCCGTTCGGCTACGAATAATGTTTTTCGCTTTTCCCATTAACGTTACGAGACTATGACGACGAGAGAGGACGATCTGCGCGCAACGTTCAACGACGGCGTTTGTCGCGCATCCTCGTTACCAGTTACGATTAGGAGAGAGTGGTGGTGGACACGCCAGATCACCACCGGGGAACATCGCGCAAGATGCGATTTCCTCGGGGCGTCTCATTTTTATTTTTTTCCTTCTTTTTGCGTGAATAGGACTGAGCAGCACCGATGTTGAAAATTGCGACGAATTTTTCGTGTACGGAGAAAAGAAATCGGTTGGATTAATGTGACAGTGAATGGTTATTTTGTCGAATCTACAAATTATTTTGCCGTATATAAGTAAATTAGGAATTAATAATTGGTATAATTAGTAATTAGTAAATAAATTGGTAAACTAGTAAATAATTTAGGAAAACACTATATTTTGTCCTAAGCAGCAAATTAACCTGTCTTAAGGACTTAAATTCACTTAGCGGAATATTTTCTATCCTGTACAATAGAACTATTTCTGCTATGCTGCTTTAATTACGAATAACTTGCTAATTTGGCTATACCAACTAAATTTTTTTTACTGTCGTGACGAGTATGCAGTAGCAACGATAGTTCTGTTACAATGGCAAAATTATTTTTATAGCCCGCCATTTTAATTTTCCGTGATACTTAGAATAATTGAGTAAAGAAATGAAGAGAAGTAGGTAAGAAAGAAAGTTTAGATTGATTAGATAGAGGTTCCATAATTAGTCTAAGTAGAATATTCTTCCTATACTTTGTAGTTACTCCTTATAACTCGACACATTAGAGGTTTTTTCAGTCGTGATATATTGAAATTATAACAAAAATATAACAAATAGTATAACTAATTGGTACCTCACATGCTCTTTGTCGTCACCAACCCGCAATTCTGAATTAAAATGGCGCCTGGTCGTGTGAATCAGATAGCCAATGAAACCGATTCCGTTCAATGTCGTTTTTCTGTTAATACACAGAACTTTAATAGGAATTTCCCTTCAACTAAAACGTATTTGATTTGTTCATCGTCACGTTAATTCGACCAGTCTTGTTTTTCCGTATAAAATTTGTAGAGTCACGCGTTATGTGTTGAATGTGCTTTCCATAAAACGGTACATACGGCGCGTTCGACAGCGAGACGCGCTATATCGGGGCGATTTATCCTGTCTATCTTTCTCTCTCTCTCTCTCTCTCTCTCTCTCTCTCTCTCTCTCTCCGTGAGATTTATTCGACACGACACTTTTAATATCCTCCGTGAATCGGAGGAGAGCGCGTCGACGTGTTAATCGTGTGCTCGCTCGCGCGCGCAAAGTCTCTCTCTCTCTCTCTCTCTCTCTTTCTCTCTCTCTTTCTTCAGCGATTTTGGCTCGAAATTCTGTGGGAGCTTTGCTTACGCAGAGACGGACAGTTTGTCCACCGCAGGAGCGCCGAGGCGGCCGTCGAATATTTACACTATAACAACCGGAACAATTTCCGCGGATTTTACGCGGTGCGAGCGAGAGAACGAAGACGCGCGCGCGCGCCGTCGACGGGGACTCACCGCGCGATTCGCCAATGTAAACCCGCGTATTTAAATTGGCCCCAGGGGCAGGAGGGGGGCCTGCACCCGGGTTACGAATTTAAAAACGCTAGCTGCAATTTTTTTCCACCAACGCGGCGGCCCGCGTACCGCGCACCGCGCATTGTATCACGCACCGATGTGCGATGCGCGCAATGTGCGGATTGCGGTCGACGAAATCGGCAAAATATCTCTTTACGTTTGACGGCCGCCGGATTCCGGGTCCTTTTGTGCCGCGGCGCTTATTTCGAACGGTATGAAAATCAATTATTTCGTTAATTCGTGCGTTACATTGGCTGTCACGGGGCCATCACTGTGAGCGACAGCGGCCCAAGGCGCTATTTTTCAATTCCCGATGTCGCCCCCGCCTTTTCGAATGTATTTCCGTCCCGTCCCGTTCTCTCTCTCTCTCTCTCACTTCCTCTCGCTGTCTCTTTCTCCCTTCCCTTCTCTCTTACTCACAATCGCTCTCTCTCTCTCTGTCTTTCTCTCTTGTTTTATCCCCGGCTATTTCGCGACGGCTTTATGTCTCCACGATGCTCGCTTGATGCCCGAGCCCACTGTTCAGAAACTACTCTCGAGATCTGAAATCTGTTTAATTCGCCGTAGGCCGGCTGAATCTGAGAAAAGTTCTACGAGAAAGAGATCGCGAATCGCTCGACGGAGCTCGACAACTACGAGATTTTCGGAATTGAGTTATTGCGCGAATTTATGCGCGCTTGATCGAGACGGCGTGCGTTCTCGAGGGAAAATCACTTCTTAGGATTTTTCGGGCCTCTCGATACTTTTTATTTTTTTGCGCGCTCTTTTCGTACGAAATCACCGCGAAACGTTTCGAGATGTAGAACTCGCCGCTGTGACGCGCTAAATATACTCTTAACTTTTTATGTTCCACACATCGATCCTCTTTCGGGGTAAAATATTGTAATTTATAAGATCGTCTGTAACGATGCTCCTGAAAACTTTTTGTCCGAATAAAATTGAGAAATGCGATTTTCTAAATATATATAATTACATATATATTGGGCGTTTAAAATATAAAAATGAGTAAATACTAAAATTGTTTTATTTAAAAAATATTTTCTTTCCAACCTTGTTTATAACATAACGTCGTTGAAGAACATCGGACAAAATTTTAATAAATATGAATATACTGCATTTTTTCATAAATAACTTTATATAAAAATCCGAACGTCGACGATATCGCTTTATATCTCGTGTACAAATTTAAGCAGGGATTCAATCGGATTTTCCCAATTGTCATAG